GCCTTGAACTCACAGAGATCCGCCTGGCTCTGCCTCCCGAGTGCTGGGATTAAAGGCGTGCGCCACCACCGCCCGGCCATTTTTTCATTTTTTTGTTTTGTTTCTCGAGACAGAGTTTCTCTGTGTAGCCCTGGCTATCCTGAAACTCAGCTCTATAGACCAGGCTTGCCTTGAACTCAGTGATCTACAGGCCTCTGCCTCCCAAGTGCTGGGATTGAAGATATGCACCACCACCAAGCATTTTGTTAAATATGTGTGTGCACATCTCAAAACAAGGTGGATGAGAATTGGACACCCAAGGTTGTCCTATGACCTCCACGTGCACCGACACATGAGCACCTGCATTCACATGCGGAGTTCTTTAGATGGATTTCTACGTACAGACCTGTAATGAGAATGCTTGGGAATCAGAGGCAGGAAGATTGCCTTGAGTTCAAGGCCAACCTGGGCCAGAGACTTTATGTTAAAAAGAAAAAAGAGGAGGGAACTTAGCTATCTAAAAATCCTTTGCAACTTTTCTATAAATCTAAAATTATCTTTTCCCCCTAAAAGACACTATTCCAAAATAAGCAGCTTATTTCAAAGGCGGGTAGATATACAGTTCAGTTGGTAGTGTGCTTTCCTACCTACACATAGGGCCACAGGTACATACTTGCAAACCTCAAGTTTTTTGGAAGCAAAAACACAAAAGTTCAGGATTCTGAGCTACATATGGGGTTGGAAGCCCACCCTCTCTGCTAGAGACTATCTAAAATGCAGGGTGTGGTGGTAGTGGTGGGCACACTGGGAACTGGAGGGATGGTTCAGCCAGCAGTTAAGAGCACTGACTACTGGTCCACAGGACCCAGGTTTGTTTCCCAGCACACACATGGCAGCTTACAACCATCTGAAACTCCAGTTCCAGGAAAATCTAACCCTCCAGCCTCCATGAAGTAATGTACAGACATGCATTCAGACAAAACACCCAAAAACATTAAAATAAAAATAAATCTTAAGTATCAGCACCTAGAGGAGGCAGTGGCCAGCAGAAGGCAGGTAGATCTCTATCCCTTACAGCTCGGCCTGGTCTACACAGTGAGTTCCAGCCAATGCTACATAGACCTACTCTTCTCAAAAAACAAAAGGGTGGTGTTGATGGAGATATGGCTTGTGCTGAGTCTGTTGCCCAGCCTAATCATGAGTCTAAGCCCTGGTACCACATGGTGAAAGAATCAACTCCTGCTAATTGCCCTCTGACCTCTACGTGCATTGTGGCAAACATGTGTCCCACCTAACACAAATGCAGGAAAGAAAATCACAAAAATTGGGGCAGCCCCTATTCCTCGTGGTCTTTCAGTCATCTTTTTAGGGGTGCTGGATACCATACTTGGAGCATCATGCATGGTATGAAAGTACTTCATCATTGGGCTATGAAGCCTAACCGTTGTTGTCAACTCCCCAATCCCATTTTTTAATTTTTTGAGACAGATTTCCAACCTGACCTAGAACTCCCTATGTAGACCAGTCTGGCCTCTCAAATTCACACTAACCCAACCTACTCAGCTTTCCCAGTGCTGGGCATGAACTACCAAACCTGGAAGTCTCCCATATTTCTATATAGTCAAAGCACACTGATCTGCTCATGAAACCTCATCTAAGATTAAAGTGTAGAGTAAATGCACTGATTAAAATGTATGGGAGCACAATGTAGTATAGCTACAACATTTGTTGAATTCAAAATAGGAAGTTACCACAAACTCCCCATTCCCAAACTTCTCAATACACCAGAGACATGATTTATTAAAAAAATTTTAATTGGTTTACAAAGGAGCTACAGACTACATTGAAACTACTCTTTGTACAAAAGGCAGAGAGATTAAGATAGAGATATAGAGAAAAAGATATTGAGATTCCCCAAAACACCCAGGGACAAAGTTAGGGGGAGAGAGATAAGGAAGATACAAAAGGAGCAGGAAGACAAGATATTAACATCGTACATACACGAGAGTGAGGGTAGAGAACAGGTGAGTGACTGTTTAGAAGTATTTACCTACACAGCCCTGGTGGTAATTGGATTGGAACCCACAACAAACACAGCTTAAGGTTTAAAGGCAACAGTGGTATGGAGACTGGTTATTGCCAGTATTAAGAAAGATATATTTGTTTTAGGCACCAAATTGGAGCACTACTCCTCTGCCCTGGGATGACAGACTTGGGAGAGGGAAGCAGGCCCTAGGACAGCTGCCTTTGGTTTCCTCAGATCGGTATCAGCATATTCTCTTCAGACTTCATGCCTAGTCTTTAGCTAGGTAAGGGCTATTAGGATGTTACTGGGAGAAATGAATCATCAGAAATATGAAGAACTGCCACTATCCACATTTTTTAAGCGTAGTTACTAGAAAAGCTGGGTAGATAGAATCATTTCCCTAGTGGAGAAGGCACAGTGTGATTCCTGAAGGCAAGAAATAGGAAAGCACACAACCAAGCCGATGTACCAACAGTCTTCTCTACCTGAAGCCCCAGCCCAATTCGTCACGCTCAACCCCCATGAGCTGGGACTTAGAGGAGCTGAAGAACAGATGAGTCCCTGTATTTTCTTAGCCAAGAGAAGGAAGGTTGGGCTGTTTGATAAGGAAGGGGCAGATGAGAAAAAAAATACTTTCTCAGATGAGTGCTGTGGAGAAATCCTTTTGGGTTTAGGAAGTCAGAACAGAAATGACTCAGGGAAGGAATGGAGCCAAGGACTGCCCCTCTTCTCCCTTCCCAGTCTTCCATCTATAGCACATGAGCCAAGTCTGGAAGAGGGAGTAAGAACTCAAGCTAAAGGCTGCTTAATGTCTTTCTGGGGGATGGTGTTTAGGGAAGGCAGACAAAGAAAAGAAACAGGTCAACCTCAAAGCTGGGCTACTCATCCTCCTAGATGAGATCTGTACCCCCGGAGCAGAGCCAAGAGAGGAACTAAAGAGAACAGTCTTCTACACCAAAGTAATAACCTGCCCATGTTTTATCAGCAGCTTTCAAAGCAGTGTTTTCCGGGATTGGAAAAGTGCCATACCCTCCTCTCCCCAAAGCAACTGCTGCTACCGTTATCCTTGTAAGTTATTGGCTCTTCTAAGAGAAGTCGAAACTCTGAGATTTCAAACATTTCTCCTTACAACCCCAAGAGGCTACCCAACTTTGTATCGGGAAAGCAAAACCAGGCAAAGACTGAGGCAGCTACACTATCCTCCTTTCCTTGGTACCTAATCTCTAAACCAACTCTGATCTAATCCCAAGGTCCAAAAGGCATTAGGGCACTTAAAACTGAATGAAAACTTGAATCATGTAGCACCAGGGCTCCCTCAAAGTATAACAGAGGCCTGATTAGCACCCCCAAAAGAACCCCTCAAAAAGTATCCAAATTTATTGTGGCCTAACAAAGATCTGCAGCTTCCAGTATTCACATAATGTGAAGTATTAACAATACAAAATATATCCTGAAAGTCAAACACCTGCAGTTCATAGTGCTTCCTCAGATTTGTTAAAAAAATACAATGCTTAGTTTTCTATATAGGATATACAAAAGCAAAAAATATATATGTATATAGTAGAAATAAATCAGCCATAGTAATTTACAGCTTTAGTCTCCAACCCTCCCCAAATTATAACACCTTCACCCCATACTTCAGTCTATACTTTCTGCAATTAAAGGTTCTATTTATTCTGAAACCAGACTGAGAAATATCCATTATATTGCATTTTGAATAGCACCCCCAAAAAGAGTGCCTGCTAGGAGGTCCCCAAAGCAAGAGGGTGGGTTGGTCCTTTCTAGGAAAAACATTATGCAGATGAATATGAATGGGCAACCCATAAAAAGGGGATGAATACTTTACTGTTTCTGCCAGGCATGGTGGCACACATCTGTAACCCCAGCACTTGAAAGGCAGAGGTGGGTAGATCTCAGAGTTCAAAGTCAGCCTGGACATAATAAGTTCAGACCAGCCAAGGTTATACAGACAGACCTAACAAGATTACTACAGATGTGGTCACCCACCACCCTGCAAGGTAGAGTCATTTAAAAAAAAAATAAGTAAAAGATCATGAAGGCTGGACATGGTGACATATACCTATAATTCCAGCACTAAGGAGGCACAAAAATTATCCAAAATTCAAGGCCAGTCTGAGTTACATAGTGAGTTCCAGGCTAGCCTGAGCTACAGAATAAAACCCTGTCTCAAAAAAAGAAAACAAATTCCAAACTGAACAACAAAAAGGTAATGAAAAGAATTTCAGAAGAAAAAAAAAAGAATTTCAGAATCAATGTGTGGGTCAATTATGTTAAATTCTGATGGCCAAAAGTTTGGGGAAAGGTTATTTTTCAGTAATGAGACCCTGACTGGAGGAATGTAGTCTCTTGACTATCTGTGAAGAAGGCCAAGTGGCTCCTAGACAGGAGACAGAAGCAGAAACTGCTTCCATTTTAGGGTCAAATAAGACACTGGAGAAGGAAATAGGAAAAGCAGAAAGAATTCATGGTAATGTTAATGAAGCAGATGTTGAGGGTAAATCATCAGCTTTTTACCCAAGAGAGAAAACACCAAATAACTTATCTAAAGGCTTATAGTCCTTGGCATCATTATGTCAGCTTGTATCTAATCACCTCATACTGAAGAAGATTCTATTCCTTGAAATGATCTAGCAAAATACTGCACATTCCAGTGAGTTATCCTGCCCCTTCCTCCAGAGATGCCATAGTACATGATTATAGACATAAAGTAACAAGGTTTGAGTTCTGCTTTTCTGTGAGAATAAAAGGTGTCATGGTGACTGAGGACGGATAACTTTTACTTTAACATTAATAACGTGATCTGGGGAAAATCCCTTGAAATATTTCCTGAGTCTTGATAACAGAATTAAGTCAGCACAGAAAGGACCAAATGGAAAAGACTAATGTTAGAGAATTAAAGGCTCTTGTATTTCAGACTAATACCACCACAAACTTACCAAGAATCTAGTTTAGATGGAATTTACATAAAATGTATAATAGTATAATCTATTTGTAGCCAAGATAAAGAAAGTTTAGAACAAGGACTCCGCTATAGATTTGGATGTTGATTTCATTTTCAAACACAAAAATAGTTTCTTCTTTAGAAAGTGCACTAGGATATCCCCCCACCCCATTCATAATTGTAACTGATTTAGCATAAGCAGAGAACTGACCTTAGGAACATACCCAAGTTTTATAACCAATTTCTAGGTAACAGGCCTGAAAGGCATTTTAATCTGAATTTATTTTCCAACAATTTCAAATATAAGTTCTCATCTGCATGTAGATATATACAGGCACAAACACCCATTCACACGCACAGTCATACACAAACAGTTTACTTTCTCTATCAGATCAGGGTAATTTTTTATTGCAGATCTCTTTAAATATTGGCTAACAGAAAACCTATCCCCAACCTAATAGATTACACACATACACACAACCACTTCCATACTTCCTCACAGTGAAAAGCTCTCTGACAAGATACCAGAAGGTCAAGAGAGACAATGCTTTAATGGCTGGGCCTTGAGGACAATTCTGGTTGCATTTAAGTCTCAGTGTCAAATGCACTGAGTTTCCCTGCCGATATAATTTTTGGATCAGTCTCTTCTGGAATCAGGCCATGGAAAAAGCAGGATAATTTCTCCCAATCTCTCCTATAATCCACAGTGGTAAGACAAGATTTCTTTTTGTTCTGGGCTATAGTCCCCATGATTGTGTGCTTCCTTTTCCCTTAGGAACCACCCAAGTACATACAAGGAAGAGTTAAGGGGAAATTTTTTAAAGAACTACTCTTTTGCCACCAGCACAAGTTTTGCATTCTACAGAATGAAAAGTCAGAACAGATTCACTGGCTGATGCTCCTTAACATTAAAACATTAACAGGAAGGAACTACAGAAATGTTCAAAAGAGGAAGTGTACTTCCATTCAGTGTGTGAACTCAGAAGCCCATACATTAAGGCTTAAAGCTATTTGGAAGACAACGATACTGAAATCCAAATAATTCCACTAACCGAGACTATGAGTTATTTCCTTTTCTGAGAACATCTTTTTCCAACTGAAAGCTGCTGCCTACTATTTGACCATTTTTTTTGACAGTTTATATACAACAATCCCAGATTATCTCCCTCAAAGGGTCTCTTATCCAATTCCACAGAGAGAATTCTGACTCCTGATGTTTAGAGCTACTAAGAGAAGGAGATGACTTTGACTCTCCAGCACTGAGAAGGTGCCTGCGTCAGTAGTAATTGGAAACTCCCTCCATAGCTACTTCAAGCATCAGACTGCACTTCAAGGCTTCTCCATTCTGCTGTTGAAACTAAGCTCTTTAAAATATTGACCAAAGTGCCTAATCCGGGGATCACTGTCAAAAACAACACAGGAAGTGATCATGTGAGAGAAGGGGAGAAAAAAAAGTCAGGAAAGGAGCGCAAGGAGCTGATCCCAAATAAAACAACAAAATTAAGAAAGAAGACACATTATATATGTATATATGAACTAAAAGCAGAGCATATCGATGCTTACTCTGGTGGGATGCCAGGACAACATTTATAGAAAAGCTTGATGTGTCATGATAAGGCTCAGCCATTGAGAAATAAGGCAATATTTAAAAAAAAAAAAAAAAAATGACCAAGGTATTTTTGGTCACAGACTGGTCTTTTTCCTCCTCCCAGCCAACCCCTGTGAAAGCATCTCTATATATTTTTATATATATATATATAATATAGAATCTGTTTTTGTTAAAAAGTATTTCAATGATCATATATATTTATCAAGGCATGATGGCTTTGGGGGTGGGGTGGGGATCCATCATGGGAGAGCTCAGAGGGGAAACGCAGAAAGGGGAGGCTGGGGTAAGAAGTGTAAGAAGAACCTGGGATGAAATAAACGCTTATCAAAGGGTGGCACCAACAGAATTTTCACTAATATTTTCCGCTTTCAAGGAGTCACCAGTGACAGGTGGGTGCCACAATCCCATCTCTTCTCTTGTACCCTCCCCCAATTCTTCCCACCACCAAGCACATTAATGCCTCATGGCTCTCTTCTCCACATGTCTCTTGGACCCATGCTATCTTGCATCCCAGGCTTGGTGAGTATTGGCCCATATGTCTCTGGCCCTAGGTGTCTAATCTCAGAAACCATTGCCACTGATATTAATGGACTGTAGCTCTGTCACCTGCATGACGTTGATGCCACTGTTGGCAAGACGGGCAATACCCTCTGGACAGATGGCCTCCATGGCTACCATATTGGTGGTAATAAGGGCTGAAGGAGTGGCAGTGCCACTGCCTTCTGAACCTGCCCCACTGTCCAGGGGCAAAGTGCCCACACTCAGGGCGACCCCTGGGCCTCCCTTTTTGTTCTGGTGGGTCTTGATATGCTTTGACAGGTGATCACTCCTCATGAAACGCTTAGGGCACTCAGGGCAGGCAAATTTCTTCTCACCTAGATAAAAAGCAAAAGATAACTTAACCCAAAAATAGTCAGAACAAAGATGGGGTTGATATATGTCCTTCAAAATCTCACTTAAGGGGGGCTGGAGGGATGGCTCAGTGGTTAAGAGCACAGGCTGCTCTTCCAGAGGTCCTGAGTTCAATTTCTAGCACCTACAAGATGGCTCACAACCATCTGTAATGACACCTGGTACCCTCTTCTGTCATGCATGTATACATGCAGGCAGAACACTGTATACATAATAAATAGATAAATCTTTAAAAAAATCCCAGTTAAAATGGAGCTTCTTCTTAAAACCTTCCGGATTAATCCAAGTGCTCTTTGAGACACACTCAGTTTCACATGTAAGTTGTTCAGGATTTGCACTCACTTCACAGGCATATCCTCTCTTCCCTTTTTGTCTATTTCTCTTCTTCTTCCTTGGGTCTTACTCACCTGTATGTGTGCGTTTATGTCTCTGAAGCTCATCTGAACGTGTGAAGCGCTTCCCACAGTATGACCAGTTACACATGAACGGCCTCTCCCCTGTATGCCAGCGCAAGTGTGCACGAAGATGTGAGGTCTTGCCATATACTTTGCCACATCCTTGGATGTGACAAATGTGCTGTTTCTTTTTACCAGGATCTCCAGAGCCTCTAAGAATGAGAACATAGTGATTGGTCACTCTGGAGACAGACATTAAGGAACCAAGAAGCATCAGCAGCATTACCTAACCCATTCTTTTGTTTGTTTTGGATACAGGGTCGCTATGTAGCTCTGGCTGTCCTGGAACTCCATTAAGTTGACCAGGCTGCCTTTGAACTCACAAATTCACCTGCCTCTGTTTGCTGAGTGCTAGGATTAAATGTGTGTGCCACCCACCTTTAATCCCAACACTTGAAAGGCAGAAGCGGGCAGATCTCTCCGAGTTCGAGGCCAGCCTAGTCTACAGAGTGAGTTCCAGGATAGGCTCCAAAGCTACACAGAGAAACTATGTCTTGGGAAAAAAAAAAAAAAAAAAAAAAAGCGTGTGTGAGCCGGGCGTTGGTGGCGCACGCCTTTAATCCCAGCACTCGGGAGGCAGAGCCAGGTGGATCTCTGTGAGTTCGAGGCCAGCCTGGGCTACCAAGTGAGCTCCAGGAAAGGCGCAAAGCTACACAGAGAAACCCTGTCTCGAAAAACCAAAAAAAAAAAAAAAAAAAAAAAGCGTGTGTGCCACCATACCTGCCACTAAGATTTACTTTTAAAAAAAAATAAATAAATCTTAAGATTTATTTACTTATTATGTATACAATGTTCTGTTTGCATGTATCCTTGCAGGTGAAGAGGGAGCCAGATTTCATTATAGATGGTTGTGAGCCACTATGTGGTTGCTGGGAATTGAACTCAGGACCTCTGGAAGAGCAGCTAGGGCCCTTAACCTCTGAGCCATCTCTCCAGCCCTAAAAAATATTTTTTAACCTTTATTTATTTTATGAGTATTTTTGTCTGCACATATGTATGTGCACCACAGCATGCCTGGTACCAAAGCAGGTCAGAAGAAAATGTGAGATCTCCTGGAACTGGAGTTAGAGATGGTTGTGAGCTACCATGTGGGTGCTGGAAATTGAAACCAATCCTCTGGAAGAACAGCCAGTTCTCTTAGCCAATGAGCCATTGCTCTAGATCCTGTAGTTTTTGTTTGTTTTTAGACAGGGTTTCTCTATGGAGTTCTGGCTATCCTGGAACTCAGAGAGCTCTCTGCTTCAAATACTTCACGTAGGATTAAAGGTGTGCTCTACCACATCCAGCTTGTGCTTTTTTTGTTTGTTTGTTTGTTTTTGTTTTTCAAGATAGGGTTTCTCTGTATAGTTTTGGTGCCTGCCCTGGATCTCGCTCTGTAGACCAGGCTGGCCTCGAACTCACAGAGATCCTCCTGGCTCCACCTTCTGAGTGCTGGGATTAAAGGCATGTGCCACCCCCGCCCAGCTTAAACATTTATTTTCATTGGGAGCTGGAGAGATGGTCCAGTGATGCTTTTGCTCCTCTAGAAAACTGAGGTTTGGCCGGGGTGGTGGCACACGCCTTTAATCCCAGCACTCGGGAGGCAGAGGCAGGCGGATCTCTGTGAGTTCGAGGCCAGCCTGGTCTACAGAGCGA